TCTCTCTCTCTCTCTCTCTCTCTCTCTCTCTCTCTCCCCTTCCTGACCATGCCATGAACTGAGATGCTTTCCTGCCCTAGGACCTCACCCTGTGATGCACAGCTTCACCTTAGGCCCCAAGCAATGGAGTTGGCCATATTTGAACTGAGGCCTTTGAAACCATAAACCCCCAACAAACTTTCCTTCCTCTAAATTGTTCTTGACTGATATCTGGCTTCAGTGACACAGAATTTAAAACCAGCCTCCACCTTACATATATTTCTTTTTGGCAACTTCAACTCTGGAAGCAAATGACAATAAAATAGATGTTTCTTTATATAGTCACCTATTTCTAAAAGAGCATGAAAATAATTTTTCTTTGGTGTCTACCGCTCACCATTCCAAAGTCATGATGATCATAAATTTTAGATAGAGACTATCTCTTATGCCTAGAGTGCTTATAAAATTTGGAAAAATAACAGACCCAGAACAGCTAAAGCAATTCTAAGCAGGAAGAATGAAACAGGTGGTATCACTATACTAGACCTTAAACTATACTACAGAGAAATAGTAACAAAAAGAGCAAGGTACTGGCACCAAAACAGGTTGGTAGACCAATGGTACAGAATAGAGGACACAGAGACTAACCCACAAAATTACAACTATCTTATATTAGACAAAGGTGCTGAAAGCATGCACTGGAGAAAGAATAGCATCTTCAACAAATGGTACTGCGGAAACCTGGAAATCCATATGCAACAAAATGAAACTGAATCCCCATTTCTCACCATGCACAAAAGTTAACTCAAAATGGGTCAAGGACCTAGGAATTAAACCAGAGACTCTGCATCTAATAGAAGAAAAAGTAGGCCCTAATCTTCATCATGTGGGGTTAGGCCCCAACTTCCTTAATAAGACTCCTATAGCGCAAGAATTAAAACCAAGCATCAACTAATGGGATGGATGCAAACTAAAAAGTTTCTTCTCAGCAAAAGAAATAATCTGTGAGGTGAACAGAGAGCCTACATCCTGGGAACAAATTTTTACCCCTCACACATCAGACAGAGCTCTAATATCTAGGGTATATAAAGAGCTCAACAAGATAAGCACCAAAAAAAGCAAATAATCCAATCAATAAATGGGCCTGAGACCTGAACAGACACTTCTCAGAGGAGGATATACAATCATTCAACAAATACACGAAAAAATACTCATCATCTCTAGCAATCAGAGAAATACAAATCAAAACTACTCTAATATATCATCTCACCCAAGTAAGAATGGCAGCCATTATGAAGACAAACAACAACAGGAATTGGCAAGGATGTGGGGAAAAAAGGTACACTCATACATTGCTGGTGGGAGTGCAAATTAGTGCAGCCAATTTGGAAAGCAGTATGGAGATTCCTTACTGATAAGCTGGGAATGGAACCACCATTTGACCCAGCTATTCCTCTTCTTGCACTATACCCAAGGGACCTAAAAACAGCATACTACAGTGACACAGCCACATCAATGTTTATAGCAGCACAATTCACAATAGCTAAACTGTGGAGCCAACCTAGATGTCCTTCAGTGGATGAATGGATAAAAAAAATGTGGCATTTATACACAATGGAATATTACTCTGCACTAAAAATGAATAAGATCATGGCATTTGCGGGGAAATGAATGGCATTAGAGAAGATTATGCTAAGTGAAGTTAGCCAATCCCAAAAAAATGCTGAATGTTTTCTCTGATATGGGGGGGGGTGACTCAAAGTGGGGTAGGGAGGGACAGCATGGGTGAAAATTACCTCTAGATAGGGAATAGGGGTGGGAAGGAAAGGGAGGGAGAAGGGGATAGTGGAAAAAGACGATCATCATTATACAAAATTCATGTATGAAGATGTGAATTTGATGTCAACATATCATATATACAAACAGAGATTTGATAAATTGTGGTATAAAGGTGTATTAAGAATTGTAATGCAAAAAAATTATGAATGTAATGTACTCCACTATTGTCATGTAAGAAATAATAAAAAAAAATCAGCTTAAAAAAAAAATTGTCCGAGAACGTTTTGTAGACCAATGCCTGTGTATCAATTTAGTAACCTATAGAAGGGATTGCATGGGGTAATTCAGAGCACAGAAAACAGGTTCAGCCTGCTATATTTACTTGTCCTCCTTACCTCCGGCACTAGATTGACCCGCCATATAAAATATGTTCCTAAAAAGTCTACGAAGTGCATAGGCCTGGAGCAACAGTAAAGAAGACCTCTCCGTTATGATCAAACCAAGTCCATTTGGCTTATCCTTGGTCACTTTCAAAACCGTGTTCTTCTCACTGATTTACTCCATGTGATAATGCTCAGTGCTTATAGTCAAAGATAACTTGGAGTTGATTTCTCTATCCATAGCATTTATTGGTTGCTATTGTTTAAATATGAATAATGTTCCCCAAATGACCACGTGTTAAAGCCTTGATCCTCAGGGTGGTGCTATTGGGAGATGTTGGAACCTATAGAAAGTGGGGGTTGGTGGAAAGTCTTTAAGTCACTGGAGGCTTATGGAAGCAATAGTGGAAACTTAACTCTTCCTAACCTTGTTCTCTGTTTCCTGGCTCATGACATAAGCAATTTTCTCTGCCATTCACTCCCTCCATGATATGTCACCCTTGCCAGAGACCAAAAGTCTACCCAATCTTGGGCTAGAACTATGAGCCATAATAAACTTTTTCTTTTTTACAGTTAATTGTTTCAGGTATTTTATTACAGTAACATGAAATTGACTAACACAGGTATCCTGATTAAGAAAATGCTGTATCGTTTCCTTATTTTCAATATTTTCACAGGAGCTTCAGGGTATTTCAAAGTCAAGGAAAATGTAAATAAGTATAATGCTTTCAAATGTTATTAGTGGACAGAACAGAAACTGCAACAAACTGTGCTCCAGAAGAGGGAGAAAAAATACTTGAGAAGAGAAAAATGATACCTTTTACCCCTTAAATACAAGGTTCCAACAAAGTTATTAAACTGACGATCAGGTTCTTCACATTCAATTTTTCCATCTAGGTTTACCAATTGTCCTTCCTTTATTATTCCAGCAACTTCTAATGATGCCTATTTTTAAAAAACAGAATGAGAAAAATAAAAATAAAAGTTTTATATACTGGCAAAGCTTCAAGTCTCCAATAGTTAGTAAAAGATGATGATGAAAGTCAACTAAGAATGTTAAAATACCCAACCAAATTTTAATATAGACTTTTCTAGAAGACTTTGACAAAGTGAAATTTTACAAATAATTTTAATAAAATTGAAATGGGTGGAAAGTCAAATTTTATTCTCTACTGAAAACTTCACTTTTTAAAGTTCAACCATCATAATCTAACACCATATAATGTCTGGTACATTTATGTATGTAGCTGATGATGCTTGTTATGGTTTAAATATGAGTTGTCTCCCCAAAACACACATGTGAAACAACATAAGAATTTTCAGAGGTGAAATGATCAGATTATGAGAATTATAACCTAATCAGTGAATTAATCCACTGATGTTAATTAACAGGGCAATAACAATAGGTAGGGTGTGGCTAAGGAAGTAGGTCACTGGGAGTGTGTGCCTTGGGGTTTATGTTTTGTCCTTTGTGAGAAGACTTCTTTCTGCTTCCTGGTTGCCTGTCCTGAGCTGTTTTTTCTCCGCCCCACCCTTCCTCCATGATGTTTTGCCTTACCTTGGGCCTGGAACTATGGAGTTGGTTGACCATAAACTGAAACTCTTGAAACCTTGAGCCAACATAAACTATTCCTCTTCTAAATGGTTCTTGTTAGGTCTTTTGATCAACAAAAAGCTAACTAAAACAATGCTAAATTATGGATCATATTTTGAATAACAAGAATATAGAACAGGGGTTCAAAACTTTTGTATGCATCAGATTCATCCTATGACATCTGATGAAAATAAAGTTTGCTGAATTCATCCCCAGAGTATTTTTATTTAGTGGGTCTAAGGTTGAGTGGCACAATTTGGATTTCTAACAGATCCTAGAGGATGATGATACTTCTGGTCCCAAGTTAGGACTTGGAGAATCATTGAACTTTATCCCCAAAATATCTCAACCTTCCATAGAGAAAAGAATAAAATCAACATCAAGAGATAGAATCAACTCAATAAAATCCTGGCGAATCGAATACAAAAGCATATCAAAAAAATTGTGCATCATGATCAAGTAGGATTCATCCCTGGGATGCAAGGCTGGTTCAATATACGGAAATCAATAAATGTAATCCACCACATCAATAGACTTAAAGACAAGAACCATATGATCATCTCGATAGATGCAGAAAAAGCATTCGACAAAGTACAGCATCCCTTTATGTTCAAAACACTAGAAAAACTAGGTATAACAGGAACTTACCTCAACATGGTAAAAGCTATATATGCTAAACCTCAGGCTAGCATCATCCTAAATGGAGAAAAACTGAAGGCATTCCCTTTAAATCTGGAACAAGACAGGGATGCCCTCTATCACCACTTCTTTTCAATTTAGTTCTTGAAATACTAGCCAGAGCAATTAGACAGACAAAAGAAATTAAAGACATAAAAATAGGAAAAGAAGAATTTAAATTATCGCTATTTGCGGATGACATGATAATATATTTAACAGACCCAAAAGGGTCTACAAAGAAACTTCTAGAGTTAATAAATGAATTCAGCAAAGTGGCAGGATATAAAATCAACACGCATAAATCAAAGGCATTCCTGTATATCAGCAACAAAAATTCTGAAATGTAAATGAGGAAAACCACTCCATTCACAATATCCTCAAAGAAAATAAGATACTTGGGAATCAACCTAACAAAAGAGGTGAAAGATTTATACAATGAAAACTACAGAACCCTAAAGAGAGAGATAGAAAAAGATCTTAGAAGATGGAAAAATGTACCCTGTTCATGGATAGGCAGAACTAACATCATCAAAATGGCGATATTACCCAAAGTTCTCTACAGGTTTAATGCGATGCCAATCAAAATCCCAACGGCATTTCTTGTAGAAATAGATAAAGCAATCTTGAAATTCATATGGAAAAACAAGAGACCCAGAATAGCAAAAACAATGCTAAGCAGGAAGTGTGAATCTGGAGGTATAGCGATACCAGAGTTCAAACTGTACTACAAAGCAATAGTAACAAAAACAGCATGGTACTGGTACCAAAACAGGAAGGTGGACCAATGGTACAGAATAGAGGACACAGAAACCAATCCACAAAACTACAACTATCTTATATTTGATAAAGGGGCTAAAAGCATGCAATGGAGGAAGGATAGCATCTTCAACAAATGGTGCTGGGAAAATTGGAAATCCATATGCAACAAAATGAAACTGAATCCCTTTCTCTCGCCATGCACAAAAGTTAACTCAAAATGGATCAAGGAGCTTGATATCAAATCAGAGACACTGCGTCTGATAGAAGAAAAAGTTGGCTACAATCTACATACTGTGGGGTCGGGCTCCAAATTCCTTAATAGGACACCCATAGCCCAAGAGTTAATAACAAGAATAAACAAATGGGACTTACTTAAACTAAAAAGTTTTTTCTCAGCAAGAGAAACAATAAGAGAGGTAAATAGAGAGCCTACATCCTGGGAACAAATATTTACCCCTCACACTTCAGATAGAGCCCTAATATCCAGAATATACAAAGAACTCAAAAAATTAAACAATAAGATAACAAATAACCCAATCAACAAATGGGCCAAGGACCTGAACAGACACTTCTCAGAGGAGGACATACAATCAATCAATAAGTACATGAAAAAATGCTCACCATCTCTAGCTGTCAGAGAAATGCAAATCAAAACCACCCTAAGATACCATCTCACTCCAGTAAGATTGGCAGCCATTATGAAGTCAAACAACAATAAGTGTTGGCGAGGATGTGGGCAAAAGGGTACACTTGTACACTACTGGTGGGACTGCAAATTGGTGAGGCCAATTTGGAAAGCAGTATGGAGATTCCTGGGAAAGCTGGGAATGGATCCACCATTTGACCCAGCTATCGCCCTTCTCGGACTATTCCCTGAGGATCTTAAAAGAGCGTACTATAGGGATACTGCCACATCAATGATCATAGCGGCACAATTCACAATAGCTAGACTGTGGAACCAACCCAGATGCCCTTCAATAGATGAATGGATAAAAAAAATGTGGCATCTATACACAATGGAGTATTACGCAGCACTAAAAAATGACAAAATCATAGAATTTGCAGGGAAATGGATGGCATTAGAGCAGATTATGCTAAGCGAAGCTAGCCAATCCTTAAAAAACAAATGCCAAATGTCTTCTTTGATATAAAGAGAGCAACTAAGAACAGAACAGGGAGGAAGAGCATGAGGAAAAGATTAACATTAAACAGAAACAAGTGGGGGGAGAGAAAGGGAGAGAGAAGGGAAAGCATATGGAAATGGTAGGAGACCCTCAATGTTACACAAAATTACATATAAGAGGTTGTGAGGGGAAAGGGGGGGGGGAACAAGGGAGATAATTAAACAACAGCAGATGAGGTAGAGAGGGAAGATGAGAGGGAAGGGGAGGGGGGATAGTAGGGGATAGGAAAGGCAGCAGAATACAACAGTCACTAATATGGCATTATGTAAAAATTGTGAATGTGTAACTGATGTGATT